TCAAAGATGTCGGACCTCTCTGTGCGGTGATTAAACCAGTTAAAAAGGAAAGCAGAATTTGTAACAATATATGTATACACGGTGTTTTTTTTTTTAAGCTTAACAGATTTGTTTAAAAAAAGCCGTGAAAGTTACACCTACACCGCTTGTGGAGGTACGTTATACGGCCAGGGGGACATATTACAGGGGGCTAATCGTAACGACCAGTCGTCTAATTATTTAAAATTTGTTAAATAACTTTTTAATTAATGAAAATAGACATATTGTTCCAATTAGAAACTTGCTCAGCGTTATCGAAAACCACTAGGTCAGTCATTTTCAGAAAGACTTTCGGCTTGTGAGAAGCGTAGTATAGTACTAAATTTACCACTCGTGGAGCAGGTACAAGGCTGGGGCTAGATAAGAGACGGAAAAATCGCGCGGGCGCCTTACCGCAACCGCTAGCTTCGTACCTGCTCCAGGAGTGGTAACTTTAGTGCGCTACTACGCTTCTCACCTGCACAATGTCTTTCTGAAAGTTACTGAATTAGTGGTTTTTAATGACGCTGGGCAAGTTTGTAAGTTTTAGCAGTTTCAGCTTTTTGCAATGACTGTAGCTTTATTTTATGAGGGAAAACAAAGCACGAATTTCATATTTGCGAACAAAGCCGCTAGTGTAGGCTGCCCTCTAGCTGGACAGTTCACAGAAGCTCTAGCAGACACGAAATGAGACGTGGTGTGCCTAGATGTTAGAGTGCTTCCTACTGCTTGATCAGGGCCGCAGCTGCGAGTTGCGGGCGAAAGCGTTGCTCGCATACAAGCGTCTCTGTCCGCTTTTCTCCTCGCAACGCGACAAGGCAACGCGTACGTATTTTCGACCAATCTGTCCAGGAGGCGTCTTCCATTAAACTCTAAACGCCCTCCATTGTATGAGTTGCGCCCTCTCTAAGATCGAGGCTTTCTGATGAGACGCTGTGACGAGAGCGGCCATCGTGTCTGCTCGCCTTTTTCGCCAGGACTTCCCCGATTATACCCCAGGATCGCCACATCCTACCCAATGACACGCCGGCTCGTGTAATGTCGTTTGTTCCCACGTGGAAACCAGGTTTGACGCATGGGCAGTGTAGGACGCTGAACACGCACCAGTCAGAGACGCGCGTTCATGGCACTGTAACTGAATCGTTTAGAATTGGAATTGAAATACAACAAGTTGTGCAACAAAAAGGTGTAGGGTACCACGGTGTTCCGAAAAATCCGGAAGAAGAAACTTCGCTGGTACATTTTTGTTTTTCTTAAATCTAGAACCAATTATGCATATTGAGACTGCGGGTAAAAACGTTGTATACACTGAAACCGGTTTTTGAAACCTATTAGGGGATGTGTCGTTTTGACCCACAGTCTCAGGAGTTCTGTCATGCTTAAAGGAGCGGTGCAACGGTATTCAATTTGAATGTTTTTCACTTTACACGAGCTTACTGGCACAAGTGGGACCCAAGCATACTCGCACGCAACGCCACTGGCCGAGAAACTTCTTTGTTGCGGTGCAATTTCAAGAACAAAAGCGATCATTTTTATTCAATCTCTGTTTTGCAATTAGTGATGACGTAACGTGGGGATCGCAGTGCACCCCAATGACGATATTTTAATGCAGTTCATAGATTGGACCCGAGCATTGCATGGGCACTCGATTTGGCTCGTAATGATTACTAGCTCGAGAAGCATTCGGGTAGTGGCCCGTGTCCAATCGCTGCAACGACGACAATAGCCGTGCTATAACAATGTCTGGAACTCAGCGCGTGTCCTGTGCCTTGCCAACTCAGCGCGTGGCTATGATCAATATTGGCGGCATATAGTCGGCTCCAGATCACGTGGCATCTTGTTCTGGCTGCGAGTTGAGGGGGTGAACGATGCTCGTTTTTCTTTTTTTTCGGGAACTTTTAATGCGTCGGGTGAAAAACGAAGGCGTGTGTTATAGGTCATTAACGTCAGGGGTCCTTTCTTAACGGTATTAGCGCGAAGTAAAAAAATTGTTGCATCCCCCCTTTAATATTAACCAGCTTGTTTGCGTCCTTACATTCAGTTCATTAAATCTGTTATTTTGTTAAAATAAACATAATGAGTAGGGGTTTTTTTTTTGTGCTTGACTTCTTTTTAAAACAACTGAAAAATTAGTACAAAAGTTTAACAAAAGAAAAGAATTGCAAAATGTATATTTTCTAGATCAAAGCAAGCAAACACTCGAAAGAATTAAGCAAATATAAATCGCTTGGAAAGCCACACTGAAAAACATCTCCATAACCATGCCATATGCTAATTATTAGTCGTTGAGTCAGTTGTAAACAACCCTGATGATAATAAGCTTATACTTATTTGATTATTTTTATGCGGTGATAGTAACGCAATTCTAATATATGTTAATAGTAACAATGACTGTTACATCCTTTGTCATTCAGGCTAACTTGTGACGGTTTCTTTTAATATATTTTTTTACATCCTCAAGATTAGATCACTGTTTTTATATAGATATAGATTTCCTCAGCTTTGCATACAGATGTTTTCATAACGCAATAAATGGGCATTGCTGAACTCTGGTATCCTGGGTTAAATCCCCATCCCTGCCCGTTTAGATCTGGATGAGCATTGTGCCAGCGTGGTGTCCTGCATCATGACTGCCTGGTGCACGATGCACATTAAAGAGACCATGGATTGAATTCTGGGCTGGAATAAATGATTTTAGATGGAGATTTTACTAATGGGATATCGTTTAGTGGATTAAAGGAAGACAAGTAAAGTCAGCACGGAATGAAACCCGAACGCCGGAACGCGTGGCCATCGATACAGGCTGCTCCACCTGGAGGGCCCCTGAGAACTAATGAAAATGCACCGGGGTGAGAGGATGCGGGTCCCACTAAGATCTCCTCAGAACTTCCGCGTTTCGCCGATGGCGCGCTGTAAGCGCCGTCACGTCAGAGCCGTATATGGGGAGAGTTTGGTCAGTCTATGATCTCGCCGCCGTGACGCTCTCCTTCCGAGTGAGCCAATGAGCACGCGGCGTAGAGCGAAAGGCATGAGCGCATGCGCGTGAACTCCCAGCTGCTCCCACCTGAGTGGGAAGGGCCGCCATCTTCGGTCATTCTCCCGGCGGAATGCGTGGGATCGGCATCTAAATCTCGATGATTGCCTTTTATATCGCTGGCTCTGGCAAGAAAATGACATTCAGTTATTTCTCGGTGGGTTAAAAAGCTAATAAATGAAGATTTTTCGGCGTAGGGCCACAAACTTTTATTCAGGCGAAAAAGGAGTCTGCCCGTAGCAGACGACGCGTAGCCTTAGCAGTGTTCTTCTCCGACCAGACTCCGACAGCGTTGCTAAAAAATGGCGGTAGTCTCCTCTCTGCTCCCTTCTTTCTCCCTCGCTCCTTCGGCGCTCTCCTCCCTTTCATTTACTTTTCTCCTCTCCGGCGCCTTCGTCGCCACACCCACTGGCCAAACTTTCCCAATATAGGGCTCTGCGTCACGTTACGTGACTCGGGTGCTTTTCTGTCGCCAGCACTGTCGCCCGGTCGACACCGGGCGGCCGCTTGACCTGGCTATAGCTCTTTGCGATAGGCCCTGCTCAGACAGGGTGATGAATTTACTCCGCTCCGGAATCGATACGCCTGGCATATCGGTGGTTACCAAAGAGAGCATCAGCTCCCTTTGATAACCACCGAGGCATCAGGGTCGGTCTGTTGTAGCATTTTTTTCATAAAGAGTATGATCGTGCGAATAAACAAATTTTATTTCGCGTTTATAACGTTTCACTATTTCTCAGAAACCGCGCGTGGCACTTTGCTCACCGGAGCCCCAGCGTGGTTCCGGTGATACGTCATCAAGCACTACGGGTCTTCTGTGCACAAAATGTTTCAACTTTCATTTCGCCCTTGCGCTACACAAAGTGATAATGAATGACAGCGCTGAAGAGATATCGCTAAGAATCCGATACACAAAGCCAGTGACAGTGATTTTTTGTATCGGATGTGATGGCGCTTACAGCGCGCCACCGGCGAAATGCGGAACTCCCAGACGCGCCCCGCGAGGGTTGAGCCCACCTTAGTAGGACCCGCACCCTCGCACCCCTGAGCATTTTCATTAGTTCTCAGAGGCCCTCCAGGTGGAGCAGCCTGTATTAACGGCCACGCGTTCCGGCGTTCGGGTTTCATTTCGTGCTGACATTACATGCGGGTAAAGATCCAAAGGCCTGCTTTTCGGTACGAAATATTCAAAGTATAGCGGATTATTTCTTACCATCCTTTCCTTCGAACGCTCCCCGCCTTTTCACTGTTATACATCCGCTGTACCCAAACAATTCAGCCGAACCCAGCTCACGCGTTGAACGCGAGCAGTCCGTCCCTCGGACGTATGCGCTCTTCAAGAATCATTATGTCGACAAATATTTAAATTCACGTTCGTGGCCAATGAATGCCGTGGCGGCACGTATCATCATTGCGAAAGGCAAGTTCCGCGGTATGCTTAAAAAGTACGGTGGAAGCTCGGAGTCATCGCCTTCCGAAACCAACACCGTCACAGTTGACAACCTTACAGCGTTCTGGTATACGTCGATGAAAAGAAACGCGGCTAACCCCGCCGTCCCTCAGACGGCTGTAAGAACTTCCGGTTCCGGTGAAGTGCTACGTCACGACTAGGTGATCGCTTATTTCGCTTTTGAGTTGAGAAGGAAAGGTAAGGGGGAAGAAGCTGAAAATTAATGCCATGGTTCCTTTAAAGACCCCAGGCTCGCGGTGGTGCTGCACTGGCTAAAGTTCTCATCCACAATGAGGCACCAGACACCCACTGGGGGTTGACTAACATCCTTCTGTCTAAACATACACAGAACTCAAATATTATTTTTTTGAATGGAGAGGAGAATAGAAACAGATAGAGCTAGAAAAAAAAGTAACTGCCAAGTGGTAAGTATTGCCTTCTTAAACACATATAGAAATCGCTACGATATTTTCTTTCTTTCTTTCCAAAATGGTGAAGGAACACAAGAAACGGGACTTGTTGCAGTTTCTGATCGACGCAATGGACAGGAACTGCGGAGGTTCCAATGCAGCTGGTGTCCCCATTGGAACAGATGAGGGTATGAATGACCATTCAAGCATCGGCTCTTATTACAAGTGTCCCCATCCGACCGTCTTTTAACACAGAGTGCAATAGCAGGAAATGCTACCTAGAAAAAGTGACACAAAAAAGTGGCACGCAGAAATTCTACAAAAAGTCTTATTGAAGCTCGACTGTTGTCCGCATGGGTGAAATTTAGATGGATGAATAGATGGATGGATACGGCTGAACCCTCTTAATCGGGCGGCGGCTTGCGCCACCTAGCTAAAGCTTCTAAATCCAACAACTAACTAACATCCCATAAAATATTTTTAATAGAGAAAGGTAAATAATCTCATATCGCCGATAAGCAGAAGCATTCATCTATCATTTTCACAACCCTCAAAATCGAGCTGGCCCGCCACCTACCAAAGGAGGGGTGCCATTTTTTTATTGGGCGCATCCTTCACGTTACAGGACTAAATAAGTTGCTCTGCGTGTGTTTGTATGTGTGTGTATATTCCTATGTGTTTGTGTGTGTGTGTGTGTTTTTTTTAATCACGTGAAAAATATATAGGAAAAGTCACGTGAAACTTATTTTTCTCAAGTATCTGCAATTTTTGGGAGAAGCGTCGTCAAAATTCGCTCCTTCGTCGATAACGATCTTTAAAAGTCGAACTTTGTCAAACTCTTTCAAAGGTTGGAAGGTGCGCCAAACCAGTCGAAACTCGAGCTTCGATATGAAATGTCAGGTTCGACAAACGCTACAATTCAGTGAAACCAGTCAAGCCGAGCCAAGAGCGTAACATTTCTTATCAGCGACTAAATCAACCTCGCCAACTGAATCGGACGCTATCCTAGGATTTCTGAGTGCGTAATCGGTTTAGCCGGCGATAAGAAACTCAAAAAATTATAACGACACTTCGATCGCCATGACGCTGCACTTTTCTCGCACCTTGATTGACTCCATCCGCTCGTAACGTCGGCTGAGTCTGGACTTAAACAACGTTCAAGTTTTTGGATTGGTCATTCGTTCTCCGGCCTTCTGAGTGGCTAATGCTTGTGCACAGTAAGCGTCTGCGCATGCGTGCACCCTCGCCCCTGGCATTGTTTCCTGGTGTCACCATTTCCGGAGGGAAGCGTACCGCACGACCAAGATAATCTGCACTGAAATAAGGGTTATTGCGGAGGTCCAGCTAATAAACAATCATAGTGAAAAAAACAAATAAAGAAACGTTGAGACTTTGAGACTGTTGTGTTGTCCCAGTTGTTGTCCCTAATCTTAAGAAGCCCATAAAACAAGAAATTTTTTGACAGTCTGGTTGGGAGGCGCGTGTAAGAAAAGTTTTACGCGAAAAAAAAAATTATAGCAATATTGACGGCGATAATTGTATTTGAAATTATGCGCACAAAGTTAATGACGTCACGGAATGGCCATTCGCTCTCTTGACCTCAACGAGATGGTCATTCGCTCCTTCCACCTGAATGTGAAGGCAAAGCAAATCAACCTCTTCTCCACGAGCCAGAAATGCCGAGCGGGAAAACAAGTGAAAATGAGGTGACTACCGACCAACGTTACTGAAACACTCTGTTGAGAAATTCGCCGTCGAAACCTGGGCCGCTGGCGTCCACCGAGACCGAGCTAAATACAACAGCGCCACTCTTTATCATTTGTCTGTACTGTGGTCACCTTGAGCTTTTAGAAAGCATGTTTTTGTGTAAAAACAAACGGAAAAAACTCTCTATGAAATTTTTTGGAGTCCAGTACAAAATGAAGGGCGCGTGATGTTTTTATAATAATTAGTTTGCAATGTTTTGCGGAGCAATTAATATTTTTTTTATACAACCATGCCTCAACGGAGCTTTCAGGTAGCGCGTCCCGTCCTAGGTGCATTTTAACTTCGGTAGTAATTCGCGGTGCGTCCGCTGGGGAGACGGTGGTGGCACCCCTGTAACCTCTTCCGCTGTTTCGGCGTCAAAATGGCCAATTAATGGCCAAATAGAAGTACCATGCGGTTCCTCGAGTGGCTGCTGCGGGAGAAATGGTGGCGTTGTGTTCGCCATTAGCTGGGTTTCGGAGGACAGATCGGGGCCACTGTTTCAGAGCAGTCTCTATGGCAGCTTCCCAACTGAGTGGTTCTAGTAACGTTGCTACCGACTAGATGGCGTCTCGCGCTGTCAATACTGCTCTAAAAAATTTGTTTTATTTTGCGTAAAATAGCTCCCAAACAGCTCTCAAACAACTCCTCAGACGGCGCTCCTGAATCGAACAAGTCAGAGTTTGGCCATTAATTGGTTTGAATAGGCGAGCTTCTCGTGGCCACTGATATGCCGCGAAACAGCCCCTAGCAGTGGTCATGAGCTCTAAAAATGCGACGCGACTAGTTCAAGCCGTATTAGCGTCGCCAGAGTAAAAACTCTTGGTGACTAAAAACATGGCGCATGTGAGGTTTTTATCGCGTTCATATTCAACAATAGAATAAACGAACATGCGCTCTAATCCACAGCAAACTGCTTAGTTTCGATCATTGCTGCAGATTCGCTATGCTATTGACGCCCTTGTCACCGAGACACCGAGATTGAACGCTTCTATTTCACGCTTTAAATGTCGTTTCCAATATTGGGACGTCACTGTCTTCTGATTGGTCGCCAGTGTGTCGCAGATTTAGTTTACCCTCTAACCACGGGTGAAATATTCGGCGCTGGCGGCGGTCTTTGCTGCACCCATTGGCCAAACTCTCCCAATACAGGGCTCTGAAAGAAGGCTCTGGAAGAAGGCAGAGAAGAATGTTCATTTCGTTGGCCGGAGCGAGAAAAAGGTGTTCGGGATAAGCTGCGCGTTGCGTTTCTTAGCTGTCAGTGACTGTAGAGCAGTCCTTAATTAAGGCACGGTCACACTGCAGACACATCACTCAAAAGACAGTCCGTACACATCGTCTGAGGCATGTTTCTTTCTTATATATGGACTATGTCGCATTGGTCATACAAAGACGGTTTGCAGACATGTTCCAAGTGTTCGTATGTTTGAACCAAACACGCTCGGAGCATTCTCGAGGCGTGTCCGATGATGATTCTGTCCATGTGTCTGCAAAGAACACAGTGTCTTTTGCTCGATATAGACGCTTTACACACGCGCCAGAATACAGCCGCCATTGCTGACCTTCTCTTGTTTTACCAAGATACTTAGCCACTGAAATCGGTGTGTACAAGCCTCCAAAAAGGCCAATGCTGGGGAGAAAGGCAGAGTAAAATGTAGGATGGCAATGGCCTAGCCTGATATGGTAATAATGAAGTGAAGTAAACATAATAAGGGGAAACAAAAACTGAAGGTCAGTTATGGCGGCGCCCATGCACAGCTGCTGCAAAGCGTCTATATGAACAGTGTAACGGTGGCTTTATATTGTGCAGCAGCAGTTCCACGCTGCTGTAATGTCTGCCCAAAAGATGTTCCTTTCCGTTTCTCCCAAAGGGAAAATAACGCCGCCAAAACAATCCTTCCTGAGTCCTGTGGAAGTAGAGAGCAACGCTTCCCTCGTTCTGACAGCAGGGCAAGTAACAGAGCTAATCTTAATAAGGAATGGATGGATGGAAGGATGAATGCATAGATGGATAGATAGATTGATGAATGTATGGATGGATGGATAAATGAATTGATAGATAGATGCGTGGGTGGATGGTTGGATGGATAGATGGATTAATGAATGGTTGGAAGGATAAGTGGATGGATGGCTGGATGGATGGATGGATGGATGAAGGGGTGGGTGGATGGGTGGGTGCATCGGTGGATGTATGGATGGATGCATGGATGGGTGGGTCTGTGGATGAACGGACGGACCGGTGGGCAGGCGTCCGTCCGTCCGTCCGTCAGCCGCGTTCTAGGCACCGTGTGGCTATTCAACGTCGAGCGTACGTGTTACTCCAGAACCGTGAACCTGAGCAAGTACTCGTCCTGGCTACTGTACCTTCTAGCAAGACATCAAGACGTCCAAGAAAAAGTCCGGGACGAAATTAAAACCATACTTCAAAATGGGGTGAGTCGCCGCTTCGAGACTCGGACCTATGGCGCTCAGACCTGTACCCGGCCGAATCTGCTTCAGCGGGAGGAAACCCACCGCAAATATTTCTAAAGTTTCTTCGTTTTGTGGTTTTCGATGACGCTCAGCAAGTGTTTGATTGGATTAATGTATTTATATTCATTAATTAACGAGTACTTAACAAAATTTAGTTAAATAATCGACTTATTGTGACGCTGGCTTGAGGGTTGGGGTTGGCTTGACGGGGCCTCAAAACCCGTCAAGCTGCTTTTGGCAAATTTTTGTATGGGGCACCGTTGCCTATAAGGCCAAAAATAAAGACGGAACATTGACTGATTGATCGATTGATTTATTGATTGATCATTCTTCAGTATTATGCTCCTCTGATTGTATAGCTCACCTGCACAAAATCACATTAATGTAGCTTTCACAACTGTTTTTTTAAGCACCTTGCATATTTCACACATGCGCTCCTATGGGACCGATACCATAATCTTCCTGGAGATAAAGCAAGCGTACGGTGGTACAGATTTCTCGGAATAGCAAGCGAAAAGGATGGACTGCTTCTGCCGTACTGCATAAAAACGGTGCAATAATTATGTTCGCGATTAACCCTCGTTTGATTCCTATATTTCTTGTTTGATGTACCAGGTGTTTAGGAGAAAAAATAACCGTGTCATGCTTGTCGCAATATTAAACTACGCATCTCAAAACACTCGGTCTTCGCCCACAGGCATTGCTACCGATTGAAATCACATGTAATCTTTAGAGTGTGCCGTTACGTCGTTCAAAAGTGACGAGCGATTTCTGGAAATCTTCACTGATAAAACAGGGCTCGTTGACAATAGAAGACGCCATTTACCTTCATGATTCGCGGGCTTTGTTGGCCGCCATTTTTTCCGTGCAAATCTTCAAAAATCGCTTTTGACTTTTGTATTAGATACTGGTTAGTTCTGAAACTTTCTCTCAATCGCAACTGCATTTTTGGACGTAGATTGAGCATTCGATCGATGGGTAGTTTATTTTGGGGATGAAAAAAAAATGGTTCCTTTCTATCGCAAGATAGGCCTGTGGTATTAACATTGTTGCTATAATATTGTTTACTGACTTTTTTTTTAATTACATGTACTGTGGTGGTCGCCGCTCGCCGCTATGTGCTCCGAAGTCGCACCGTGCGGCCCTGTCGGAACCATAGAGTTATTATATTGTACGCTAGAGGTAAAACTGGCGCTAGTGAGCTGTCACAAACTGAAATAGACAGTAACCAGTGGAAAATTGACTTCTGGTAATACATTTTTATAGGAAAAATGAGTGAATTTTTTCCCTGTGCTCGATTATAAAAACAAATATTCCAAATTTTTTAATATACTAATAGAATTCAAGTTTTGGTGTGTGTTCTTTTATTCAACAGTAGTTATTATATTTTTGCCATTTTATTTATGTTCGTGATAATGTGTTTATTTTGTGCTTCTCTGCTACAAGGCCTCAGCTCTGCAGGTCGTTTCTGTAAATAATAAATAAATAATTCATACTTACTAGATAGCTTCGAACATTTCTTAGTCAGGCAGTCAGATAAAAAAAATGATCAGCTATTGCGGTTTTCTTTTTCTTTTTCATTGCATTAAAGACGTAGCTAAAATGGCTTTGTACATGTATTTATGTGCACTGTTGCACGCTGTTAGCGCGAACATGATGTCCCCGCTGTGTATAATCAAAATAAGTTGGAGGGTACGCTATATTGCCCGATATTCAATAGTAAGTACTGCTTTATTGTTTCTGCTCTACGCGAATATGCTTAATTGTCCTACGTTCAAAACAATCCACGCACGCTCGAAAGCTTAGGAAACAAGTGCCGGATGAAAGCTGCCCGACAGAGAAAATAATAAAAGAAAGATACCTCTTATAGCCCACGTACTTTATTCTTTACGTTTTAACTGATTTTATCCCCTCGTAAAAATGCACGACGGGGTAATTTTCAAGTAGTGACAGGACTGGCATATTAGCAATGCATAGGCGTCACCTGAATGCTGGCGTACTTTGAACATATCCTATATACTGTTCGATAGTTCATTTGCTTAGAATCGTAGTTTGTTTTTAGACATATTCTATGGAACAGAAGTTTGGACCCAAAACTAGAGCGAAGTTAAACATCATTCACTGATACAGATATACCCTCTAAATAAAGCAAGTACACTTTTACGATGTTAATAAAGATGCGTACTATCGGGTACGACCCAACTAACAAAAGCCTTCTATGGTTTCTTTTTCTGGTGAAGAGACAAAATGCACCCACGTTTCCCCATAGGAATGCACAGGGGCATCGCAAAAGTAGACTGGTTGTTGTCTGCTTCAATTTACATTCCGGAAGTTGCATAGACACTAGCGCCAGTTGAACCTCTAGCGTGGATTATAATAATTCTACGCTCTGAACAGACCACGATCCGAGCAACGCAGCTCCTCGAGGAAGTGACGTAGGGACGCTAGCTCCGTTGGCTGTGATGGATGCTGCGCACCGATTTTCGTCCCTCAAGTGCTTTCTGCTTTACCCTGAAACTCTTCCAATCGGTCAGGGTGTCCTCAACTACGACGCCGTGCCAAAGATGCAATATTTGGAACAAGTGTTTCTCGAATCTATGCGGACACAATCGTCTCCCTCAGGGTAATGTATACAAAACATTTTTATTGCCATTTATTTATTTGAGCAATATACTGCCGTTCTCAACTGATCACAGTATCAGTGGTATCGACAATATAGGCCAGTTTGAGGCTTAAGTTCACACACTTGCGTTTGCTTGGGACCGAGTTGTTGCGTTCTCTTACGACAAGAGAACATACTGGCACGCTGATGCCATCTATGAGGTGATCCTGGAACTGCATTTTAATCGAGCGAAGCTTTTGCTGTATTTGCAAGATCAAATGTACGTAGTACGTACCGCCTACAAAAAAGAAATCGCATTGTTAAAAGCGTTTTATTAATTCAAGAAAGAATGATGCCCGAAAAAAAAAAAAAAGTGAAATCTACGGAAGTTTTAAGTACCGATCTTATAGATGGCGCCAGTGTGTTCTCTCGGTGTACGAGGGTCTATGAGTTTTTAAAGCCTGGTGCTCACACTTGCGACCGACTACGACGCAACCGGCTTTTAAAGAAATACTAGCAGCCTAACGCGTTGTGGTATTTTTTTGTTTATGACAACAATACTCATAAACAACAAAAAAAAAATTCCACCACCAAAAAAAAATTACGCATTTTTTTTATTTTAACTTTTGGCGCTTTTCTCTTTTTCTTCTGACCTCCTCGTCTTTCTTTTATTTGTCACGTAATTGAGTATGAAATTTAGAACTTTTGTAGCGATATTTCTATATTATTTAATAACGACATTCGCAAAACCCGTTTTTAACGCAATTCCGAACGCACTATTTCTTTTGAAATATCAAAAGTCGAAGTCCGGAAGTGATGTCGCCTCCTGGCTTTTTATCCTTCCTTAAAAGAGATGGTGGCGCTCGGCACTCGTAACGGTGAAGGTGATCGGAAAGTGAGAGAATTGGACGAAGTTCTCTATGTTTGGTAGACTTACCTCTAGCCCTCTAGCATTGGAAGCTTCGCTTTGTGCGATGCAACTTGCTGCGGGAAGTTCGTTCGGACGACAGCACGCCTCATGTCTTCAACCGCCCATGCCCTAAAGACGCTTTGGCTGACCTCATAACCCTCGTCGACAAAGTGTAAAGAACAAATAAAGGACTTCGATCCAAAGCTCTCCAGTAATCCTTCGGGAATTGCGGCCGTTTCTGACTCATTCTTCAGGAACCTGTACAGCGTACTTTCGGTTGTGACCCCAACAAGAGGCAGCCTTTCGCACAGCACCAGCGCGACATAGATCCTCACGTCGCTCACAAAATTCCACTGCGGATCCTCTTCGACCTCACACCGTTTCAAAAGATTTGAGATCCCTGAAAGGGCCCCGAAGAAGTTCAAACTCGGAAGTGAAGCGTAGTCTGCTCACAGCGATAGGCGGTAATCACGGCAGGCCGGCAGGCATACAGGCACTTCCGGTTGGGACGGTTCGGAGGTGGGAGAGAAACCTGAGTTGCAGGACGACTCAATCTTTGACGTTACTGGACTGGAACCGATCGCGCGGAACTTCAAATCGGCTTTTAGAAATGTTTTTTTCTTTTTTACTTCACAAATACTCTTTTCCCAAACTTCATATTTTGAAGATTATGTCCAGGAATCGTTTTCTATCATTTCGGATAATAATAAAAAAATATTTTGACCTGTCAGTGCCTTTTTAGGACGTTTGCGACCGCCATTGCTGCTACTGCACTGCCTGTCGTAGCAGTCGCAAGGGGATTAAAAATAGGTCGCGTCGGAGTCAGTCAGAAGTGTAAGAACATAGCCTCCTCTATTCTAGAAAGTCTGTCAAATCGCGAAAGAACGTTGCCGCTGTAAAGGGGAAAGAAGATCAGGGAAGAGGGCGCGTGTAAGGGGCCTGTCAGGTAGGGCCAAATTTCCCTGGTGGTAAAGTCCGGAAACACGAACGCAATCATGTTTGTTGTTTTATTTAAAACAAAAATACCCTTACTTAAAATCGAAGGAATAAAACACGGAGGACAAGCACAGGACAACCACTTTCTTTCATTAAGCAACGACGTGTATTTTGGGCAGGAAAAACTGCACCCTGAACGAGATCCCAATTAAGGTAGGGTGATAGGGGGGAGGGAAATATTGGGGGTATGAGGTTCAGGCGCAATTTTTTTTGCCCCCAAAAAACGTCGTTGCTATATGAAAGAACGTGGTTGTCCTGTGCTTGTCCTCCGTGTTTTATTCTTTCGATGTTAAGTATTCATGTTCAACTAGCTCGCTTTAGCAGTACCAAAAATTGCCCTGCATTTTCTTTTTCTTTTTTTTTTGCCAGGCGATTTAGTTTGGTGTCAGGAAACTACCCTATCAATATTTTTCTACAGGGTCACGTATATTTTTAATAATGTAGAAAAAAATACAACTGCTCAAAACCGAAGCCGAAAATGTGCGCGGAGGCTCGGAGGAGAGAGTTGTCCCAAGTGACATACGACACTTTTCAAGCCTCTTATGACGGCTTAGGACCGGGTGCGCAGCAGTGCAGCTTGTCGTAAGCCGACGCGCTTAAAGGCCGGTCTCGTCTCGGTCGGTCGGAGTCAAACGCAAGCCTGTGTACCGGCCTAGCGCGCATTTTGTTTTTTGCTGAGCGAAAAACATGCTATTTTTTCCTCACGGCACATTTGCATTTTCAGATTTGTTACTCGTCTCGTAGAAAAGGAACTCGATGCTGGCTGCGTCAAAATTCCTGAAGGCGTGAGCATCGTTATCCCAACCTACCTCCTTCATCACGACCCAGAACTATGGCAAGACCCAGGCAGCTTCGATCCCGAAAGGTGATGGAGCTGAACGAGCAAACATTCGTCATTGGTTAAAGACCAAGGACCAGTTCGCGCTTTCCACTTTTCCCCCGCTTCCTCCTCTCCCCTTTTTACCATGTACAGCGTTGCCTGTTCCTTTTTCTCCCAGGGTGAGGAGGATCTTCTGCCTTGCAGAATCTCGTGTATGGTCGTCGGCCTTTAAGCTGCGCGCTTACATTGCCAATACCATCGTACAAAAGGCAGTCTGCAGAAACTGTCTGCGACACGTTTCTTCCTTGTATGACGGCCTCCTTACATCGGTCATAAAAAAACGATCTACAGATATGTCCAAATGACACGATAGCACAAAGCCAACATGCCCGAGAGGTGTCCGCATGTAATTCTGTAATCATGTCTACGGCAAACAGCGCGTTTTTTTTTTGTTTTTTTTTTGTGCGACGCATGCGCCGTGTGGCTACGTTTAATGCAAAACGTTTGCGTCTGACAAACATGTTTATAATGTTTTTTTCTCTCTCTCTAGATTTCGTCCGGAAACTTTCGAGCCTGGGGATGCGGGTGCGTACCAGCCTTTCGGCGCCGGACCCCGAAACTGTTTCGCTATGGCGTTCTCAAAGAAAGTCATCATGCTCCTGGCGGTTAAGGTGGTCGCCAAGTACAGGCTCGTTCTCAGCCGGGCCGATCACGAGGTTAGCTACGGCCTCGTATGTTATCACTATAACACACATTAAAGCTTCAGCCATAGTGCTCGTATACTGTGCACGGAAAACAGTATGTATTATAGCTAGTCCTCGTATATTATCACACTCTAAGTCGGGGGCACCTTGCTCATACGTGGTACAATATGCACGATGTTTTCGCACGATGGACAACATTATGTGCGAGCACGCCTCAAGGACGTTCGGAGTGTGTTTGCCTCACACGTACGTATGCTTCGAACATTTTCGCATACATTTTTTGTACGAGCAACGGAACTGGATTATCATACCCAGCTACGAAACCCGCTTTAAAAGGTGTCTGTAGGTGTAACTTCTTGTACGGTGTGCAGGCAGTGTGTGACGGAGAGGCTTAAAACGACACCCCTGTAGGATCTAAGCGCGTATTCACTGTTTTATATCGGAGTGCATTTATGCTAAATTTTCTCTACGCTTTATTACAGGCTGACCTGACTGATGACGATATGGAAGATTTGCTCGTCTTGGGTCACGTAAAGCGAGGGCTTTATGCGAAGTTTGAGAAGTACTGACTCGGCTATTTCACCTTTACGAGATTAATTGAGAGGACAAGTAGTTTTTGTTCCGGCTTATTCTATCGTAGCAGTACCATTCATTACGAGCGTAATAAATGCATTAGCAAACTGGAGATTTCGCATCATTCACGGTTTATGCAAAACGGCAATGACAAGTAACGCATGACGCGCTACCTATATTTTCTCGTGGCTGTATAAATTTGAAGTTTTTTTTTTTAAAAAAGGGCTAGTTTCCCCAGTATTGTGTCCGTCAGCAAAAAAATGATGACACGAAACTCTGGACAGCCCCGCCGTCTATGAGTGACGGCGGCAACCAAACAGCCGGCCCCCTACAAAAAAAATGCGGTGCTTTTTTGTTGAAAACTGTTGAAAAAGTCATCAGAGGATATAAAATGTATCTTGCTTTTCTGTTGACTTTCTTTCAGATATCGAACCACTTTTTAATAAAAAAATTTCAACTGACTTTCCGTCGAATCCAAGATGCTTTTTCGGTAGCTTTTCAAATGAAAAGCTACTGCTATTCAATTGAAAAAAAAAACTATAGCCTTCTAAAAAGAAAAAAAATCTGTACAGCTTAGCTATTCATTCAACAAAGTTTTGAAAGCTTACTGCGGCTTTCCACTCTGCTACAAATTGGCTGCAGCAAAGAACGTAAAAGAACACATGCCACTTCTTTTTTAATTTTGCTATGAAGTGGTGTTTTCGTCGTATTGGAAAGCGCTACATACATGCCACAACTATAGGTTAGGAACGAACACAAACATTAACGCCATGAAGCACTGAACACCTGACTGCTTGTAGCCTTATATAGCCTACATATTGAAGGTAATCATTTGGCCCGTGACCACCTCAGCCCTTATTAAGGTTCCAAGTATCCGATCTCCTTCTCAGGAGTCTGTCAAAGGGAAAACAGTGTTTCGAAGTTCATGGACGATATCTCTTACAAAAAAATTATTGGCACAACTAATAATAATTCGGCGCAGTCGCTAAAACAACATCCACAAAAAAAAAAAAACGATTCCTAGAAGAAATGTTATTGCTTCTCTGCATAATACCATTCAGGACGAAGCAACTTAAGGTAGTTTCTCCACATAAACAAAGTTATTTTGCTTTTCTTTACTAGTTGACTCGTTTAATAAGGTCATTAAAGTCATTATATTCACAAAGTGAAAACAGTAGGGCGTGTCTTTTGGACGCCTGGCCTCCAGCACGCGCCCTATGCCTTCCGTTGTGCTTTGACTGCACGCGCGCGCTCGAGGTGCACGAACGCCGAAGCGTTGTCAAGAGGAGTAGGCTCGAACCAGAGGCGAGACAACCGAAGCTTCTCTCTGCCGTTCTCACCTTGTCAGAGACTATTGAAAAACTCAATGACTTTTAACATCTGATCGAGGTGTACTACGTTCAATAAAAAGTCAACAGAAAGTCTGTAGCTTTTCTATTGACACTCGCTACAGAGAGTAAGCTGAACATTTTCAACACGAAGTAAACAGAACGTCTGTAGTCATTCTGGTGACACTCTCAACAGGAAGTTAGCAGAAAAATATCAACGTGAAGTGAATAGATAGATACATAAATACATAGTCGTTATTTGACCCTGGAGGGTCGCAGCACCACAGAAAAGCCACTGGCCCGTACCTGAGGCCTGTGGTGCCGCAGAATTGCAGGAACTTAACACAACAGTAACAAGAACATTAACAGTAATTAATATTTAACGCAAAGGTCATATGGGATGGTATGTGTCAGTCCAAAAAGGAGGTGTCCGTCACTGCCGGAGGAAGTCTAATGCCTCCTTGGACCAGGCTTTCATGTCCTCTTTCTCTTGGGGGGGGGGGGGGGGGGGGGCGGAGGGACACTTGGTGAGCAGCCTTAGTAGTGAGCGCCACAGTGCCACAGTCCTGATGAGGAATGAATTTAGGTGTCGCGTACTGCGGCCGAAGAGTGGCTGCAATCCACCGGATCGTGTATGGCGTAGGCTTTCCACCAGCGGGAGTGTTGAATTGCTTGGCAGGAGGGTGCTTGCAAGAAGCCGGAGTGACGCAACTTGTCGGCGGAAAAACAATGGGCTCCATCCAACCATTTTTAGGAGTTCCTGCGTGGGTAGGTCACGGTAACGCGGCAGACCTGGGGAAGCCTGCCGACGGAGAACTGAGTAGGCTGCACGCCGCTGTAGGCTTTCGAGGGACGCTATTAATGTAATCTTGTAGGGGTCCCAGACCGAAGCACAGTACTCTAAGTGTGGTAGCACGAGTGCGGTGTACCGGTGCTGCAGTGTGCTGGGACCAGCTCCCCGAGTGACCCGGAGCACAAACCCCAGCACCTTACGTGCCCTTGAGACCACCTCACCGATGTGAACAGCAAAAGTTAATTTAGGGTCTAATGTTACACCGAAGAGTCTCCTGCAATCGGTAACAGGAAGCACCACTCCCTTCAGCAGGAAGCTGCGTTGTTCGGTGATGAGGTCTCTAGATGTTCTGAGTAACGTTGATGTGCACTTCTTAATGCTTTTAGGGAGCCTGTTTTCTATTGACCAGTCATGAACAGTGATAAGGTCATGTTGCAGTTGCTGATAGTGTGCGGGGCACTGGACCGGATGAAATATGGTCAGATCGTCTGCATAAAGTAGAGATGTGCACTGTAGCGAAGATGTTATATCGTTTATGAAAATTTTAAGAAGAGTTGGTCCCAGGACACGCTCTTGTGAGATTCCAGACAAAACTTGTTTTGAGCTTCACACGGCTCCTTCGAATACAACACTATGGGAATTATTGTGCAAAAAGTCAGATACCCGTTCATGAGGCAGCCGGAGATACCCATCTTGGACATCTTCTGACGAAGTCTTGTATGGTCAACACTGTCAAAAGCTTGCCTAAAATCAAGTTGCAGGAGTTGACAGGGCATGCGCTCGTCCAGAGACGAGCTCAACATGTTAACGGTGGAGGCTAGGGCTGACTCACAGCTTCGTCCGGGCCTAAAACCGTGCTGGCAGGGCGAGAGTAGGTCATGCAGCTCCAGATGTTGGAGAAGCCTTTTGTTCAGAATCCGCTCCATGGTTCTGCACACGACAGAGGTCGTCGAGATGGGCGTATATGAGGCAACAGACGATATAGGGGCGCCATTCCCCTAGAGCACCGGTATGATAAGAGCCAGTTTCCACTGGTGGGGAACCAAGCCAGCTTGCAGAAAGTTCGTGAAAAGCCGTGCAAGGACCGTGCTGAGACGTTCAGTGCCGGCCTTCAACAACATAGGATGCACTCCATCCGGGCCTGCACTTCGGAAAGGTTTCAAGTGTCTCACAGCCTCAATTACATCGTCTACATTTATTTCTATGTTTCCAAGTGGTACCACATGTGAGAGTGGAAGAGTGTCAGTGGTCTTAGGGGTTTCGGAAACAGTCCATGCTGTGGAAAATTGATCACTGAACAGTTCCGCTACAGCATGGGGGCTTTGCAGGATAGTTCCACCGACTGTAAACTCCGGGGAGGATGCCGATTTCTTTTGTCGGTTGACGTACCACCAAAACAGTTTCGATGTTTTGATTGCTTTCTGGGGGATGGTTTTCACACAGGACCTATGGGAGGCGTAGATCGCTTTCTTTAGGTCCCTCTGAGCCTGCCTAGCTTGAATGATGTGATCAGAGTTCTGAGTTTTCTTTGCTCGTTTGAAGAGTTTATGATGCTCTCGGGAAAGCTGAAGGATGTTCTCGGGGATCCAGGGGAACATCAGTCGTCCAGTGGCAGTCTTGACAAGGACACATTCCCTCTCAATCACACTTACTAGGTCGAGCCAGATGTCGTAAGTATCACTAGCCGACTGCAGTTCATCTGTGGCAGTGATTAAGGGTGCAAGGTGCACAAGGTTGTTTAGGTGGGCGACATCAATCTGGGAGAATAGCTTCACCTGTCTTGCATGCCGGCCAAACTTTGGCAGCGAAAGGTATACGGCCTTGTGGTCAGACCCATCGAGAGTGGGTTCCAGGGAGGAGGAGGAGATGAGCGCCGGGTTTGTTATGAAGGCTAGGTCAAGAAAAGACGCTTTTTGTGCGCTCAAGCAGTACGATGGCTCATCACAGGCTTGGATAAATCCACTTGACTCCATAACATCTAGTAGTGCATCATCATGTGATGCCGATGGGAGGGGTGCAGAGATATCCCTCCAGTCAACACGGACATTAAAGTCACCCAGTATGCTAATGTTTAGGTAAGCGGTTACAACAATCCGCTCCAAAGCGTCACTGAGCAGGCTAAATGACGCAGGTGGGGCAGCCGGCGGCCAGTACACGCACCCAAGGAGCCCCCTCCCTCGCTTGTGAGCGATCTCGACGAACAAAGCCTCAAGGCCACCGACTTCAAAGTCCCGACGCCTTCGGCAGGTAAGGTGTCGCGGGGCGACGAACATAACTCCACCACTACTGCGGCCTTCAGGGTCTTTCCTGTGCACAACATGCCGAGTAGTATCAACGAGCAGTCCATCAGGCACCGAGGTATCGAGCCATGTTTCGCAGACGGCTAGCACTGTCTGAGGAGAGGATGTGACGAGGGCCTGGAAATCAAGCAGCTTATTCTTTACGGAGCGGACGTTCGAGAACCAAACTGCAAGGTTGGCACTAGGATGCCAGTGCGACGGGGCTGCAAGATTCGAGTAAGCCTGTGTATGCCGCGTAGCGCAAGCAGCCACTGGGTCGAGGGGAGGGGTGGAGCACCGTGGAGCGGGCGTTGGGAACAGGGCATCATCGAAGTTCGGGAGCTGGCAAGCGGCATAGTACTATTCTTCCGATGTCAACTACATGCGTCTGTAGGAGCGGAGGGAGAGCGATTCACACGTCCGGTGCAGCCAGGCATTGCACTTGTCGCACTGTAAAGCGGCGACACTGTCGTAGACGGCTCGGTCGCAGCGGGGCAACTGGGACGAGGACCAGGGTTCAGTGACACGTCACTGGCAAGCAGGAGGAGCAGCAGAGTCTGCGGCTGACGACTCCGGGTTGTGGGGATCAGCGTCCC